AGATAGATAGATAGATAGATAGATAGATAGATAGATAGATAGATAGAGTGATGGACGTGAAACAAGTTATGTGCGGCACAAGCCCAAGGGAAATGTTTGCATCAGGTTTCTTGTATGTATGTGGATTAAAGTGTGAAACACTGAGTAAACACATATGACAAAGGGTCCCATTTACAGTAAACATGGATGAGACTCGTGTGTGGATACGCACACATTGTGTTTGCAGAGAATAGACAACACAATTGGCTCCAACACACAATTGTCAGGGCCAGGTGAGTTTATAGAGAGGTGTGTCGGCAAATATGGACAGAAGGTTCCTCTGTCTACATAGTTTTTGGCTCATGGGAATAATCCATTTAAAACCATGAATTCTCCTGCATGATAATACAACTTTTAAAATGTATCTTACTGTTCTGCAGCACTAGCTGCTCAACCTTTCTGGCCAAGCCTTTTATCAAACAGTTTACACAGTGTGCAACATTCTGCTTATGGAATTGCTCAGCTGAATATAACAACAAACTACTACTAAGTATGCTTTCACCATTTAAGTGCCTAAGATGCCACATTTGTATTTCCTGATCCTTGCTTGTTGGCATAAGATAGCACCATGGTTTAAATTTCAGTTAAACACTTCAGTCTGATCAGGATTTTTTGTTTAAATCTTTGTCCAAGTAAATATTAGTTTAAAGGATAAAAAAAACTTAGATAAATAATAAGGATTTAAATTTCTCCAGATTGTGTTCTTCTTCCTTCAAACATTTGGCTGCAAGGGCAAACAAGAAGAGCTGGATTAGAATGTGTTAAAAATAGGAACTTTCTAAGTATACACTGGTTCAGTTTCTATCCACACTATGTCCCCATCCATTTTTTCATCTTCACTTACCTTTGACTTTCCAGTTTCTAAACCTGTGGATGAATGTCATCTATGTTGCCATTTTTTCTTTTTTTTTTTTTACTGGGACTTGGGTGTGAATGGGATAAAGTGACTGAGGTAAGCATGGCCTCAATATGAAAACAACCACCCCGAAACCTGAGCTGGAGACACACAAACTCACGGTGAGTTAAGAGTTGCCCTTAAGTAGCCTGTTCACACATTTACTCTTCTGCCATTCAGGCACCACATAGGAAATGAGTCTAGTGACAATATTTTCATTAGATGACCAAAATCCTGAGATATTCCACCTGAGACACAATTGGAAGTTTGTGATTCATTACACTGGCATGCGGAGTTTTGTCCGTTATTTGGGCATTATAAAACAAGCTTCTGACCCACAAAAGCTCAACATGAACGAAGAAAGAAGTTGAACAGACAACAAAATGCTCCACATCCCACCTTCACAGAGGCTCATTCGAATAAGGCAAGACTTCTGCATTTACACGGCTATTATTTTGGATTTATTGTATTTGTAATTGGCATTCCCAATTGCCGTTTCTCAACAATGCATTTACAACAAACCAATATAATTTTTTTTAAACAAACCAAGCCCAATTAATTGCCGCCTTGCCAGGCCAGAGACACTCAGACACTTGTGGGTTGAGTACAGTCTATATTTCTTCTCATGATTCCACAGGGTTCACAGGAGTTCACCGCCAGTCTCCAGTGGGAAAAGGGGGGAGAATTTGGGTGTTTTCATTGGGTATTTTCCATGGTGTGTGGTTAATTGTTAGGGGAGACTTTTAACCAGCGTCTGACACAAATTCTTTGAACCTTGAGGGCTTGTGTATGATGAAATCAGAGCGTATACCACAGTTTGGGCCGTAGTGAGGAGTT